TCCTAGTCATCCACAAAAGGCATACCTGCCCGAAGAGACAACAGTGACCAAGAAGAAGAAGAACCGAAGAAGGAGGAAGAACAAGACCAATCAGCCATAAGAAGAAACTATCAACATGATCAACACACTCCGATCTGAGTACGACCACCTCCTCGCTTCACCGTTCCTTGCTAAGAAGGATGATCTAGGCGTACCAATGATTGAGTGTACTATTGGGCAAAGAATATTTCACAAGACCTTCTGCGATATTGGATCGGGGGTCAACATAATGTCCAAGGTAACGCATGAATATTTATTCGATGATGAACCTTTGTTCCCTACATATATGCAATTACAGATGACGGACCAATCAATCTAATTCCCGGAGGGGATAGCAAAACATATTATGGTAAGAATACATGATCACTATTCCCCTACCAACTTCATGATTCTGGACATGGGTGAAGAAGATGATACACCCATCATTCTTGGAAGACTGTTCCTCAACACCACCAACGCGATCATCTATGTTGGATCTGGACAAGTCCACTTCCAATTCCCTAGAGAAAAGATACGTTGTTATTTTAATAGTTACACTACTTATGAGCAGCCAAAGCAGTCCCGCTCCAGGAGGAGACGTCGATCATCCCAAAACCAGAAGAATCAATCTCCAAAGAATGAATGGGAGAAAGATAAGGAACCTAAAGGAGTTGTAAAAGATGAACCCGCTTCGCCAAAGTCAAGTCCACATACCAAGCAGGCGTGGAAGGAGAATGTAACATCGTCACCAGAGTCACAAGAGGCGCAATCATCAGAGTCTCCATCACCAGGACCGAATAATGCACCCATAAAGTAAAGGACTCTTCTCCAGCCAAGTCCTATCCGGAGGACTTAAAAATCAGAACCCTAGCCATGAGGTAACATCGGTAGTTATCCATATTTACTTTTAGCATTGCATGAATTATTTTTCACTTTAGCATATTTACTTTTCTGCATTAGCATTGCACTTAGAAAAGAAAAATAAAAAGTTCCATTACTGCATTACATCATTGCATCTAAAAAAATCCTAAGCCCCATGTGAATAAATCTACGGTATGTAAACACCCACGAGAATATTCACTGTGGTGGCATAAAAATAAACATGCATACATACTTCTTTGTGCATTATATAAATAAGAAAATCCAAAAATATATTAATAGACATCCTGCTAGAACTTTGTCAATTAGGAAATCTGTCTAACCTCCAAGGACAACAAATCTCTGAATGGCTGACCGCTAACCCCTTATCTTAATCCATGCCATGAGTTTTTGGTGTTCTTATTGGAGTATTTTGCAGGATGATCAAGAGTAAAGCCATCCATTCAAAGTACATATTCCCGAGCCGCTACTACACCCGCTGCACGAGGAAAACAACTTCTGGAAGGATGAGAGAGATTTTAAGAAAGACCACGACAACATCTAGCTTGGGGGAGGAGCATCACCCATGTATCTAGCTAAGTATTTCTTTCCCTTTTCGGTTTTACCATCTTTGAGTTTTCTATGTATTTGCTAGAGTCATAAAAAGATGCATAACAAGTTAAAACAAAATAAAATTTTATGTTAGCTATATATATATAGTAGGGTGTGATCTTAAAAATGAAAACAAAATAAAAGTATGTGTCTAGTTTAGTTTTTAGGAGTTAAATAAAAGAACTCTGAGGATAATCTTTTGCAATGGAAATGATGAATAGTTGCTCTGTCGTAATTCCTTTCAAGTACCTAGTTTCTAGCCTTAAATTCTCCCGAGTTTTGGATACGACTGTTTTGATATAAGAATTTGCTCTGAACTTGAAACTCGTGGGTAGCATATGCTTGATCTAAGTCTAGGTAATTGGCAGATATGATATGAGAAAGTCTGAGCTGCTGTTTATCTTGTTCCTAGTGATACTAAAGTTCTGAGTTTATCTTTTGAAAAACATAAAAATCTTACATGATGAGCTCCTGTATGACAAAACTTGAATTCCTACCAGAGCCATATATGATATTTAGATTTGAAAAACTTCCACTCATATATGCTGGTTGTGTTGCATTGAGTTTAGTCAAGCTTTATTGATGCCTTATGAGAGGTTTGTCATGCTCTTGAAATCAAGATCACGTACACACCACCCAAATATGCATTACTCCTACACTGGAGGTAGGCGCAAAAACATACCATTCTATCTAGATCCACCAAAAAATGTTTTACTCCTACACTAGGAGTGAACACCAAAAATATACCCTATAGGATATCCACCAAATAAATGCTCCAAGTTCTTGTTGCTATCTCTCAAAAGTTCTGCTGTAGAAAAGAAACATGTGGCTATGCAAAAGTTATTCATAAAAAAAAAAGAGATAAGAAAAAAATGGATAAGTGTCTAAATTACTAAAACAATGGGTACTCAGATGCCCACCTAAGAAGAAGAAAAAGAAGATGAATAAAATAGCCCACGTTTTCTTGCAAAGTTGTTTCCAAGTTTCAAATGAGAGATATGTTTTCAAGGAGCATAATAGAATTAGGTTAGCCACCATATATCTCCACCATACATCTATACACATACACATCTTAATTTGATTGTATGACTCAACTCTCTTTGAATCCGAGGTTTGACTTTACAATATATGTATTGCAAGTATGCTCTTTTATGCTTTCTTCACTCCTATGAGCTCCACACAAGCCTTAGTTGTAGAAAGAGAAAGGCATAACATCACTATTGCCATGGTAAGGATCCACAAATATCACATATATTGAGAGACTTGAGAGAGTCATACAATGGAAGCTCTAAGTTTTATTTTTAAAATCTATAAAAAAATCTAGAATAATGGTTGAGCAAAGAACTTGAGACATAGTGCTTGACTTGATCATTCTGTCTTTCAATTGCTCAAGACCTAAGTGAAGGCTACAAGCCCCATGGTTGAAGGTAATATGGGTAAGTTTGAAAGTCAAATCGGTTTATTCTAATACCGGTGGAGAATTCTTGTTTGAACGCATGTGTACTTTTGAGGAGTTGCTTCAATGTTTTCAAAATCCTTAAACTCCAGATTCCATTTACTAAGTTTAGTTTTGCTAAGGGACTAGCAAAAGGTAAGCTTGGGGAGTTGTTGACGGTAGTTAACAACCAATATAAACCATCAATTAAACATGTATAAGGGCATAAATATAATCACTAATGAAGGTTTAGGGGTTTAAACTAATAAATTCCACGAGTTTTGGTGAATCTGTGTTTCTAGCAGGGTTTAATCAGAAAACCACCAAGGAGGACCTAATCGTCAAAGGAAAATACAGAGTTTCACCGCGGTACCTACATGGGAAGACACTAGAAGGGTCTAGAAGCCACGACACTAAAGTGGAGGGCTACCCCTAATAGGTGGGGCCGCTCAGCCTATAGGTGGGGCCACCCGGCTCCCCTGGGCCCACCTATCAGCCAGCTTCGTATGGTGGTCTCCCACCGCCTTTGAGGATGCATCTAGGCCATTGCTTAAGTCGGTTTGATTCAATGGCTCATGTTGGACCCTCAGGGCTATATAATCCAGCCTCTGCCTCCTCTAGGAATCATAAGTCATCAAATTATTTGAGAAGACAGAAACCCTAATCTCCTCAGAGCTCCTCCTCCAGAGCATAGCTAGTTAGGATAGATCTAGAGGGAGGCAAGCAGGACTTTGTTTGGATTCTCGATTGCTTGGATTCCCAATCTTGTCAAGAGCATGGTTCGGTATAAACTTTGTACCTCTCTCTCTTGTTTCTCCATTATTTTTATATGCTAGTTACAATTGTTATGACAATCTCAGTGTTTATCTTATTCATGTTCTTCATTATGATGTTCATCGTCTACTTTGATTATATACTTAGTATTGCTAGTTTATCATTATGTTTATGCACAAGTTCATATAGCTCTCACTCTAAAGTACATGGGGTGGGTGGTCGACATTGTGTAAGTGTGGTGCTTATAGGTTGTTTACCTGCTAATACACCCTATATTCTGGGTCATATGGTAGATCGCGGATGTGACACTCCTGTTGAGTCCTTTGTAGTCCACTCCCCGAATATAGGTGCACGTAGGGTCCGATTACAAAGGTAGAACGAGCTCTGCTCTCAACCTTCCTTAGTAATATCTTTTATGTGTAGATATGATGATGATCTTAGCCATGATTACTAGGTGTAATTGCACTAATCAAATGTATGCTTTGACTTGTAATTAAGAATGACTTAGGAATTATTCCTCTAATATTCTACTTGACCATGCTAATGCTATAGAAAGGAGTGCTATGAGTGATTTATTATTCTCATTACTTATCATTTATACATATCTTATCTTATGACTTACCCCTATTGTGAGTAGAATATTGGCTATGGTTTATTTCTCCTTCAATAGTATAAGTTATCAGTACATGTCCATGCTAGACCTTCCCAGTGGTAAAAATATAAATAACGATAACTGAAATACTCTCGGGTAAAATGTTATAATGGTATATTATTTGTGCGCTTGTGGATATTTTTCATTTATAGATTTACATATATTCTCTCTAGTCATATAATTAATAAAGAATTGCTTAGTGTTATTCTAGTAGTAATGCTATGTAGTACCAACACATATCTCTAATATCATTACTAGGGATGACAACCTAGTAAAGTTAGGAGGTATAGGTTTACAATAGGTGGCTAAGTACTCAAACAAGTGACATGTTAATAAACACCAACAATGAAGTAGTGCCAGAAGAGGAGGGCTTCCTAGGCAGCCAGCCTGAGGGTGATGAAACCCAGCCTATGGGAGATATGTTGTCCTAGGACTCCACTAGCAGGTCTAATAGGAGGGATGGCATTTGTAATGCCATGTGAGCTGGTAGGGATACTGCTAGGGTTTGATTCATGCTTTGCATTCTTGTATAATTTCAGTTTGTAGACCCTGGATATGGAACTCATGTGTTATATTCATCATCTGTAATAACTGTTGGACATGACTGAGACCAATGTGGAATTGTTTTATGATGATTATATTTTCATGGACATGACTAAGACCAATCTTATATCTGTTGTTCATCTTCTATGTCTTGTTCATCTTCCTATCCTATCTATTGTTGATGCCTACCTTCATTTGATGTATGGTGGCCTTATTAGGATGGCTGGGTTTGTGGTAGCTGCTGACATGGTTGATGTGGCTAGTGCTGGGGCATCTGCTGCTGGGCTAGCAGTGGCTGTTGCTGCACCTGAGGTGGTGGATGTGGGGGCTGATGCACCTGAGGTAATGCCTACCCAGGGGGGTGCTGGTGGTGCTAGGCCCCCCATGAGATGGAATAACATCTCTGGGTTTGTCCTTAAGAGGATGGCCCAGATGTTTCTGATGGCAGTAGGGCTGACAAGTGCTTCAAGGATAAGGATGTGAACTATGTGGCAAAGGCTCTACTAGATTATTGTGGTGAGGCTGTGAGCCCTACTCAAGTGTACAACCACTTGAGGAAGTGGAGGCAGAAGTGGGCTAGGGTTGTGAAGTTGAAGGACCTTAGTGGTGCACTGTTTGATCATGATGTTAATGCCATAATGCTTGAACCTGAGCACTACACAGGCCACTGCAAGGTAGAAACTGAGTCAATTTCCCTCTCTCTTATCTCTTCCTCTTGTAGGCACTTATTCTCTTCTTCCCTGTTTATTTACTTTAGCACACATGACTACAGGACCATCCTAAGGATGTTAAATTCCTCAGCACCCCAATCAGGTTCTACACTGAGATGGAGACTATATTTGGTTCTTCCATGGCCACTGGTAGGTTTGCCCTAGGTTCCAGTGAGCCACTTGGGGTGAACAATGTTGATAGTGTTGCTACTAAGATTGAGAGCCATGGATTCACCACTGCTGCTAATGTCAAAGGCAGCCCTGAGATGGGTTAGGGCAGCAAGGCAACTGAGCTGCTCACTTCCACTATGGGAGTAAAGAGAAAGAGGGGTAATTTCAGTGAGGAAGAGATGCTGATGATGACTAACATGACTGATGCTGTCAACAATGTAGCCTCTGCACTTAGAGAGACTAGGTCTACACATGTGGATCCTGACCTCTATCTTGCAGTGATGGAGATGCCTGGCTTCACCACTAAAGCTCTCATTGTTGCCTACACCTACCTGCTGGAAAACAAGGCCCTTAGCAGTGACTTTGTGAACATGGCAATTAGCCATAGGGACATTTGGCTGAGGAACTACCTTGCTAAGAACAACTATATGTAGTTCTATCCATCTAGGATAGCAAGGCCAAGAGGGGATTGACTGTTGAGATGTATAGTTCCTCCACCTTCCTCACCCACACTCTTCTTTTTTGGGTTCCATTTTGGTGTAGCTACTGTGTAGGTAGATGGCTGACAAGCACCTGTCCTTTTGGGTTTGTGTATCTGGAGGGTGGCTAACTATAGGTAACATTGGGCAAGATGGACCTTATTTGAGCCTACATCTGTGATGCTAAATTAGTATCTATAATCCACTATTAGTGGCCTCTGTTTGCTACTCAATTTCCTACTGTTGTTGGTTTGATATATTTCTGTTCTTTTGGCTCTTTTTACTTCATCATCTATCACAGGTACTTGAGTGTTTGGCCATAAAACTCAGCCATACAGTGGTAGCAGCATAGCTGAAATATGATGCTACTGTTGGATGCATGTGTCCCATGGCCAAAGCTTATGTCTGATCATGATTCTGATGTTTATCTCCTATTGCATGGCACTGTTGGCTCTATTTATGTCCTATTGAATTTGTTTCTTTTCATTGGTGGTAACTGTGGGAAATCTATAAGGCCGCTGATACAAACAACATATTCATGAGGTGGTTGCCTTGTTTAATTGGTTCTTCATGTTTTTCATCACTGGCATGGAACCTTATGTGTGCCCATCCATTCACTTATGCTGATGGTAGTGAATGGATGTGCACAATAGGGTTCGATGGCAGTCATGACCTTGGATTTGCACTTGTTTGGTGCCTACCCTGTTTACTTGATTATTGTGATTTGTCATGTATGTCATCAAATCCATGTGCCACAACCATACCCTTGCAACAGCCCCTTCTTTCTTACGCTGATGGCAGTGTATGGATGTGCACATAGATTCCATGGTAGCCATGACCTTGGATTTGCTGCACTACTGGTTTATTTTTTCTATGGCAGCCATGAGGTTGGATTTGCTGCACCACTGGTTTTTATTATCTATGGCAGCCACCAATGATTTGAACTGAAAGAACACCACCACATTCTAAAGATGAGGCCAACCTTTTATTACAATGCCTGTGATGTCAATTCTCTTACATATGAACTTGATGATGCTGGTCATCAGTGGGGGACTTAAGATCAACGATTTGTTTCATCGCAAACCGTAGATCTTCAAGTTCCACACTCATGGCTAGTTTAATGCTTTACATTTGACTGACGCTAAACCACTGTTTCATTTCACAGAAATGGTAGCGTACTATGTTGTTTTCAATGGGAAGGCTCCTGGGATTTACCTGAGTTGGCAGTGCAGTAAGCATGTTCTTGGGGTGAGAAATGATATATACAAGAAATATAGCAACTATGAGTAGGCTGTTAGAGATTATCAGGCAGCCATGAAGATGTCCATCCATCTCATGGAGCAGCACCTCCCCTCCCCTATGATGCTTTTGCTCCAATCATTCCTCATTCTGATGGTAATGGTAAGGTTGGTTGGTAGAAGAAGGTGTTAATCACCTCACTTGTTATCTTGGTGTTTGGGATATGGATGAAGGGGGGCAACACTGGCACCTCCGACTGCCCCACTTAGGCTCCTGATGTTGGTTTTTTGCCTTGCTTCATTGGACATTGGAACTGCCTTTGTTAGGCTTGTGATGACTACGAAAACATGATGGATTAGCTGCCTTTGGTTTGTTGTATTTGTCTAAAATATTTCTGTCACAGTTGGTTGCCTTGTTACCATGTACTTGACCTATCTGGTTGTTGTATGTTCTCAATGTCGATGATTTATGCTACTAGACCCTTGTTTCGAAATGATAGGTTGCCTATTTCTTTCTTCTGTTGAGGCAACTAGGATTATATGAATCATTACAATTAGTCTGAGGCCAACTGATTGTCACTATTGTGTACTTCTTATTGTTGTAACTGGCATTTACAAATTTATTTTCATAATGCTATGTTCTGGCTCATTTACAAATCACTTGTGCATTCTTATTTTCCTTCCTAGGACATTGTGAGCCAGGTCCAAATCAAACACAATCCCCAACTGGTAGATGGAGTTAGTTGGTCATAGGCTTGGCTCCCAGAGCTGAATCAAACAAAGCCCTGCTACAGTCGGGCTATACTGGTGCATGAAATCAAACACAAGCAGCTTTGCTCTCTCGGCCTGGCTCTGGTTGGCCTCGGCCTGGCCGAGCCACCCCTACGCTCCACATCAAACAGGCCCCAAGTGGCCTGGGAGATGGAGAGAGCGCTGGACTCCGTCGCCCACCTCGTCGGGGCCGATGTCAAATTGTCAATGCAATGCGAGCAACTTCTGAAGCCAGACCACGATGGCAAGAGCTTCCTCCCTGCGCTGCACGTCTGTACGCATGCCATGACCGTGATGCTACTCCTGCCGTCAAGTGCAAGTGGAGCAGAGCACGCCCACCCACCTATCACTGTTGGGCTGCTTAATATATTAAACTCCATATAGCGCCTAGCTTTGGTGCAACGAGAGCGCTTTGACTACTGTTTCATTAATGTAGACCAATCTGACGCAGCCACATGGCATCGTGCGTGTGTGAGCATCGATTTAGCATTTCCCGATTGTTCAGGTAAGCCATGCCATCTCCTTCTGCTTCTCCGTAGAAAAAAAACTCTCCTTGACTCATCCGGTCATCCCGTCAATCATCGATGAAAAAAAACCCAGATCGCCTCGCCTCGGCACCTCCGCGGCTCCTCCTCTTCACCCTCTTTCACTCTTTGTCTACCCCGGCCGTACATCTGCTGTCCACCGCCGATTCCTCTTCCCCACGGCAGCGTGCGCCGGTGTGGTGGTCACGGCAATGACGCTTGGGGTGCAAGCGGGCATAGGGCAGTAGCGCTGCCAGGAGGCCGTCCTCATCCTCATCTCCGTCGTCAACCATGGGCTTGTCCACCAGTGCCTTGCCGTCGCCCTAACCCTGAGGTTTGTGTCCTCTCCTCGATCTCCATTCGGTGTCTGATGTCGATCTTTCTTCTCTCAGATCCCGCCGTTGGAGGAGGTCTACCCAACACGGCCTGAGTTGGAACGGCGAGGACAGTGATGAGCGGCCTAAGGGCTAGCACCGTTTCTCAGGTACTCCAGTGTCCTCCATTTTTGTAATTTTGTTTTGCCTCTCTGATTTCTCCCCGAATTGACTTCGATTCCTGTTCTAGGGTTTGGGCTCTAATGCTTGGTTGACCTTCCAGACTTCAGGTAATCTCCTAAACCTTGCAATTTATGAGTTCAATTTGCCTGAAAATATGTATGGCGTCATAGTTACTGTGCTAACATAACTAAAGAGGCACACTATGATTCTTTTTTAGGATTGGTTCAACAAAAAACAGTTTTGTTTTTTCTATTCTACCTTCTCTACTCATATCAGCTCATGACTAGGTATACCAAATTTATTTCTAGTCTTACAAACGAAACTATTGATTACATATAGCGTTTGGCATTTTCACATTTCAGTTATTGAACCTGTGTCAGCACTATTCAGACAAATATGCTTCCAGCTTTCTGTGTTTAGTCAACCTTGGTTGTTGATCAAATCTCATATGTACCTGATTTAGAAGAATCGAAAAAAAAAGTATTTTCCATCCATTAGGTTCAGATACATCAAGCCTCTTTCTCTTTCTGCATGTAGCATTTGATTGTTGGTTCAAACAAGGCATCGGAGTGATGCATCAAAGTTCATGGATTATATTTTAACTATTTCGTACTGGAGTTATTTGGACACAAATCATAGTCACACAATGCACCATTGGCCTACGTGCTTCAGCAACAATCAAACTACGCAACCTATTGGATTTTAGACAAATGAAAACAACAGTGAACAATGAGACATCATCTTATGTACATGTCCTAAAAAACTGCAACACGACTTAGTGTATCACGTTATCCCGTTATGAAATAATGTTATAATGATATATAGATGTACAAAAAAACATATTTAGAAAGATCTTTCATTTCTTTACTGAGTTTCACTTTCATGCAAGTGGCATCAGGATCTTCAGAGGATGCTGCCATATCAAGATACAGATTGCCAGGGCAAGCACTAGGCAACTGCATATGTCTACCAAGCTGGCACAAGGTCTAAAAATGAAGAAAAACATCTGATTTGCCTTACACGTTTTTTTCCAATTGCTCATTTCGTAAGATGACTACCCAGTCCAATACACTGCAGAGAAGCAGATGTAATTACCTTTATTGAACTAGGATGTTGAGCCCTTCCAAACTGAACGCTATTTTGTCCAAGGCGCATCCCTGGCTCTTTGTCAGTGTGGTCTTGGTCAATTACAAGTACAGGTAGAATCAATAGTAATCTTGGCTTCTGCTGATCAGATGTTATAGCTTTATTCTTTTCATATTTTAGTGTCATAGCAAATTGGTAATAGTAAATATCTCTTTCAAAAAATGGTAATATTAAGTTACAACTAGAGAGGAATGACAAATCCATGCTCTAAGATCATTGATAACATGCAACATGATTATTCTGTGCCTCTTAGACATCTCATGCACCTTCCTGTATTTATCATTGATAACATCTCATGCATCTTGCTTTACTCGCATGAAGTAAAATCTCATCATGTTTTTCCTCTTTCATTGATTGGCAAACATGTCTGCATGGATGCATACACAAAGCTAAAATTGGTTTCTGTTCTTGTGCATTGATCACACCAGCAAGTGTCTTACCTTGCTTTGGCTGAAATGTTCAGAAACAAGTGGTCATATCTCCAACACAAGTGAGGTACTGAGTTGGATATGATTGTAGTTACATGCTCTGGTCTGCCTCAACGTTCCTTTTCAAACCACAACGATGTCACTGTTTTCCACACTACCATGTGTGTGCGAAAAAGTTCTAACAAAATAAGCTTGATTTGGTTTCATTCTGCTTCTTTGGACATGAAAAATCTACACACTCCTTCAGTTTTTAGCCATCAGTTTATTGGATGTAGGCCCTGATCCAAAGAAATTTTACAATATCCATATATGCTCCATTCCAAATATTTCTTCGGTTTACTATGTTCACCAACCTTTTTTGTATTTTCTAATGATTGGTTTGTACATTATAACTACAGCATGATGACATGTGTTATGCATAAACTGATAATGCAGGACAATATCAGTCCAGATGCTTTTGATCATCACCTTTATGTTGTATGTGGATTGTTACCGGTTTAACTAAGGTAACTAAGGTAAACCACAGGTCTCCATTTGGATTTGGACAAACTCATGCCGCTGTCTTTAGATTGTTAGATAATTTTCCAGGATGTTTCAAAGTTTTACGTTCACTTGGTACGTATTTTAGTCAACAGTTCATTGGTTCTTAACGAGGCATCAGGTTTCCGCAGCGAGATGGTCTGTACCGGATACGTTTTTACTTGAAATGGAACTACTAATGTATGAGGAAACAACCATTTGTAGTATGTTTTCCTTTTAATATGAGTTAGCACAAGTACATAAGCGTACCTCTCATATATGAGAAAGGACTGCCAGTTTTATGTTCATAGAATGCAAATTGAAATTGTCTATTGTTGTCTTATATGCTCACACTATGCAGCTTAGTGCCTAAGGTTATCTAATTAAACAAATATAAATATGTGTGCGCTCAACGAACGGGCGCAGCGGAGCGCGCCTATCGTGCTAGTTACATTTGAACTCTAGACTCTGGAGTGATGAGAAAAGATGGCGGACAAAAAATCACCCTTGGAAGTTGGAACACCCACTTTTGTCAACCTTGTCCTTGGCTAACGAAGTACTCCGTACTAGAATGCTCTGCTTCTACTTCTAGTGCATGCAAGTGGCTTCAAGTTGAACTAGTTCTGGCCGTTGTTGTCGTCGCAGACTGATTGGTCGCTGTAACACACACGTTTTAAGCAGGCAGGAAGTTGCCGATCAAGTTGGGGCTTGGCCTCCCTCTCAGCTGTCGATTACTATATAATGCTGCCGATGCACATGCATCCGCTTGATCACATCACCGGACCAATCGCTTTCTGGAGCTGTAGCTGACGAACAACGCTAGCCAGCAACTCAGCTCCCGTCACTCCGTCATCGTGTTTGCGGTGTTCCCGTACCATATGGGCTGCACAACCTTGCGAATGGTTGGCCCGCCGACGATGTGTTGGCCTGGCCTTTTGAATCTTCCCAATACTTACTCTACATCTCTATTCCTATAGTACCAACAAGTACTGCTATCAGATTGCATGGGTTACGTCACGTGTAATTGGGTATTTAGGTCGACTCTCAGGTTGCCTGGAAATCTATCTGTTGCTTTGAACATGACTCGTGCAGTTTCTGCCTCAAGTTGTGTGTTGTGCCCACCTGTAGGAAGTACGGAGTACATCTACCGGATGTGGACGACTCCAGTCGCCGGGTTTCAGACCGCAAAAGGCGACGAAGAATATATATCACCTTTTCAGCATTCAGCGGGGTCAATCTCGCCATTCGCCGTGTGCCCACTAAACTGAACAGAACGCGTGCGTTTCTCTACCCCCACGGCACACCCTAGGTAGAATTGTATAGAAAGTTGAAGTTGCGAGTAGCCTGACCGTCAAGCCTGAGGAAGTACAGTGGACGAGTGCACATAGTACTAGTAGGTTTTCAGACTAGAAAAGCCGACAGATACGATCAGTTGGGTCACTCGCTGTGATCTGAAACTGGATCAACTGATGAACACGGCAGATGCATGCGCGGGGCCAACGACGGCTAGATTCACTGTGTTGAACGGACATCTCTCCCGCTCTCGCTCTCGTCCCGTGTCGCAACTTGCTAGTGGACGTGACGTGATAGTTGGATTGGACTGCCCAACTAACGCGCTGTGGGCCTCAAGTTGCAGTTGGCCTTGCTGCTGTGCCTCCGGGCTCCCCGCGTCGGGGCCGATGGCCGATGCAACTTGCCAAGCGCGACCACGGTGTGAGCGCGCGCCTCAATGGGGCTACTACGGCCCACGGGCTCGCGGCCGCTTCGCCACCGGGTGGACGGGCATGATTTCAGTGTTCTGAAGCAACGCCATCGATCGCCATCGTCTTCTCATCTCAAATTAAGAAAGGAGCAGCACTGAAATCGCACGCCCCACGTGGTGATATAGCCCCTGACAATATGCAACATGTAGCTTATCAACACCGTTGCGCGCTCCAACTGTATTGACGCTGGAATTTATATTTTGATGGACTTTGCTCCGGTACTCCGGAGCGACTTTAAACCATCCATTTAGTTAGATCTACATAGGCAACATATCTTGTAAAAATGGAAAAAATATCTTATCTTCCGATTAGATCTAACTTACAAACTAACATTCGTATCCAGTTAGATGTAACATGACAAACTTAACTTAATTTTCTTTGGCTAACGTACGTGACGAATTTTGTGCCCCCTAGTTAAGTTTTTCTAATTGTAACATATTTTGGTGAACATGGCTTGTAAAAACAACACATAAAAAAATATAATTTTTCTATGTTATGAGCGGACGAAGAAAGCAAGCAAACATATTATGAGAGTTATGCCTGGGTTGACGGGCCATGAGTCATGCCCGTGCCAAAGCAAAGACCTATTAGTTGTACCAGCCTAGAATTCAACTCGAAGCGGCATGAATCATGAGACGACCGGGCTAGGCCAGAATGGAGTGACCTAAGTTCCACCTCTAATAACGACTAACCAACGAGAATGTTTGACATTACTCCATTTGCAGTTGCTGACTTACCATGTCTAAGCATGGCACTGTCCAACTCCCGCCTCTAATCAAAATAACGAATGGGAATGCTTGACGTTACTCCGTTTTGACCAAACTGCTGACCTACCATGTATGAACATAATTAACTGAACACCCGAAATTTGCCAAGTTAACCAAGTAGGCTTAGCACCATGACACTTAAGTATTTTTCAAATTTCAGTTTGTATATTTTTAGCAGCTGAAATTACCGAAATTCAAATATTTTGATCAAAGAAAATTAAATAATATTGACTTTGTGGTGTTCAAATTTCACAAAAGAAAAAAAAAGAATAACTAGAGATTTGATCCCTACACCTCCTAGAAGGTGGAGCTAAAAACATCCTTCTAGGCTAGATGTCAACTTACATTTTTTTTTTGGTTGACATAGATTCATGAATTTGCTAGAATTCCACCGAAACTTTGAAGTCTTCTTAAGTATATCTATATCTATATCTATATGAACGCCTACATGAGACCAGGTGATCTTGAGAGTGATGGGGTGAAGGCGTGAAGCTATCACAGGCAGTAGCCATGAGTACATTCCCCTAACCCCTATGCATACTATATCCATATGTTCAAACTAATGTGACGAACTATAGCTATGAGTACGTCGTTTACGGCTAAAAGAGTACACGTTTACCACTAAAAGGAATAACCACAACACAGAAGGCGCCAAACCTAAGTTTCAAATAGGCAATCTACCAATGTCAAGACCTTTCAAATAGTACCGCCCTACTCTTCTTCATTTCTAAAACAAACACATCTACATATTAACTTCCCAAATTATAGGAACAGGAAGCTTGAGCAACAACAGTACGATTCTGAATCTAAAATTGCAAAATCCATCACAACCGTCTGAAATTTGTCAGAAGCATATTACTAGTGCGCTAGTCGCTCCACAGTGCAATGTCAGTGGTGCCATGCTCGACGTCCTCCCGCCACGCGCCGGCGGCGTCCGGCGGGTCTACGAGCAGCCCCTGCGCCAGGCTCGCGTAGTACGATCCGGCATCAGACATGCCACCGAACCTGAACACGTCCTCGAACTCGAACACGGCGTCGTTCGAAGGCACCGCGCCAGGCGAGGAATCAGCATCGTCCTCCTCCAGCTCGTCGTCGGCAGTATCCTTCGCTGAGCGCCGCTGGAACGCGTCGACGGCCTCGGCGACGACGTCCTTGAGCTCCCGCGCGCTGGCCAGCTCTGGCGCCGACAGCGCGCCGGGCATCAGCGGCGGGAGCAGCCACGCCGAATCGGCGAAGTTGAGGCAGGCGCCGCGGCGCGACAGCGCGATGGCGGCGGCGTCGTGCGCGCGCGCCGCCAGCTCGGGCGTCGCGAAGGTGCCGAGCCAGAGCCTTGACCCGCGGCCCCCGGGGACGCGCACCTCGCACACCCACCGCCCCGCCTGGCCGCGGCGCCGGACGCCGCGGTACACCGGGTGCCGCGTCTCCCGGAACTTGGTCCGTCCCGCCGGCTTCTTGGGCGGCGCCGACCACACCGTCCTGTACTCCACGTGCTCCGCGGACGACGTCAGCGACGGCGAGGGTGTGTCCATTGCAGACTCGCTGAAGGTCAGCAGCTTGGTTGTAGTGTGTGTGGTAGCCCTGGCCGCGGTCGAGCTGGGATCGATGGAGCAGTGGAGCTCGGACTTGATGGAGGGAGCGGAAGGCGGCCGGGAAAGTATATATAGCGATGTGTAACTTGTCAACCGGGTGCAGGGGCTCTAGCCACTAGCTCGGCAGGTAGCGAGCTGCTGACGAGTGACGACTGGTCGTCAGTGCCGCGGGGAGTGAGAGGCGATTAGCTGGAATTGGAAAACGAGACAGCCTGGAGGAACGGCGTGCGTGGCGGTCCGAGTCAGCCACCAGGGCGGTGGCGGCTGGCGGGGTCCGGCGGTCAGCGAGTGTTAGCAGTTGCATGGCGTGTGGTCTGCAGGTCTCCGTTTTTACTTTTCAAAGCTGTTCACCTGGGTGCAATTCGCGCGGTGGCTCGCTCTTTGGTGGTGGCCAGTTGACAACATACGTGCTAGTTGATTACGCGCGCCCTCGCGCGCGAATCGACGGTTAGTGGGAATGCAATCGCAGATCTAAACTTGTCTATATATTTTTTCAATGTTGGAGAGGTGATGCCCGAAAAAATAGTTTTTAAGAAGATAAAATCCATATAATAGTATATGGTTCAGGAAATTATAGAAGCATTCACTATAAATTTCGAATGACTTGTCATATGGTTTAAATTTACACAATACACTCCTCAGTTAATGTAGAATTACTATAACCAGTTGGGTACTAATTTTGGCAATAAAATATTGACATTAAAAAGGTTTCAACATGGAACGGATACTGAAGATGGCATTACTACTGAGCATCGACCGGTCTATAAATTGATATGCATAATACACAGAAGAGGATACTCTTCATACCTGTTCGAATATTGAACAGATCAACAACACTTTCGTACAGGTATTTTGACATAGAGAAGTCGTCCGTATGGACCTGAAGGTTTACTTCAGAAGTTCATCTATCACACTTAGGTGAAGACCACCAACAAATACCTGCAAATAATGAAGTCTACAAAATAAACATCGACCATGCAGTTTGGAAAAAAAAAGTATTTACAGATACCCTCAGTAGCATTGTTTGGATCTCTAACAGAATCAGTTCCCTAGGTATTCTAGTAGGTAGCTGGAATGGTTTGACATATGGCAATGCCTCACTTGAAATGAGAAAAAAAAAGATCATAAAAGAGTGATAATCATGACCGCATATTCTCATCTAACATTACTCAAAGGTTACTAAAGAAGAGAACTAAAATTGATCAAGGCTAGATATAGATGTGTCTATGAACAAAAAGAAATAGAGAGGTTGTAACTGCATGAACATTCAGTACTGCATAATCAAGTGTACATGTGTTAATATACATCAGCGGGAAATAACATGCGCCGTAAGATTTGATATTCCAATCAATACATATCCAACGCAACACAGCATGAATCCAAAAATAGGCACCAACCTGCGACGTATGGAAAGACCTTTTACCCGATGTGATGGAAGCACAAAGTCTGCTGTAGAGCGAAGAAGAATTTAAGAAGTCAATAAATAGTACCATCAATAAGTAACAGGTCTGTGAAATCTAAATTTCCAATCAATGTACAGCAAATGTAAAAATATAAATCTACAAATAGGCACTAACATGTGGCGTGTGGCTAGGTCTGCAAAGCTAGGGTTGCTGTAATGGCACTCCAAAGTGTACTGCAGAGCAAAAAAGGATTTAAGAACTCAATAAATAGCAGCACTAGGAAGTAACACGAGCTATAAAATGTGGCCTTCCAATCAATATGTTTCCAAGGACCACATTACAAAATGTGAAGAAAGAAGAAATCACTGACTAAGCACATATAGTAAAAATACATGGACAGCAAGAAAGATCCTCAAACACATCGTTCTTATTTGGACACTGAGGTTAGGAAATCATAATGTTCAGATATATCAATGTATTTCAAATGTGCTGCAGGTAGAGCAGTCACACGACGCTATTATGTTAGAGCAATTTGTAATATAAACACACACATTATGTTTAGCAATCTGCAATATTTGCTTGGCTAACTAAAATTTGCTCAGAACATTTTTTTTTTCTATGTGGACTAAACTTGCTAACGGATTAAATATTTAGGAGAAGCAAAAGTGGAAAAAGTAAAGCGATCTGGGATAAAACAGAAAAAAAAAGCATTTTCACTGCTTGCAAGCAGACACTAGGGACAAAGCAGCAGTGTGGACATGGAGGGAGCACCGAAATCTGCAAAAGGTGTAAAGTATGAAATATTATGTAGAAATGAATTCCCTATAGCAAATGCTTGTATTAGATAGTAGTATGTACCTGTGTCCCAAATGAGCATATCTAAGTCTACTCAAACATAGGACAGAGATAGAACAGGTGGAAAACAACTTAAGAAAACCAGCTAATCTGGCATGTTAGCTAAAAAGGCGGCCAAATTAAGGTGAAACTTTAGGTGACCAAACAGTAGAACCGCAAGGTTTAACCTAAAGAAGACACCATCGACACCGCTATGAACAAATTTGGAACAAAACCTAATCAATTTGGAGCAGAACCAACATTACCGAAATTCAAATATTTTGATCAAAGAAAATTAAATAATATTGGCTTTGTGGTGTTGAAATTTCACAAAAGAAAAAAAAGAATGACTAGAGATTTGATCCCTACACCTCCTAGAAGGTGGAGCTAAAAACATTCTTCTAGGCTAGATGTCAACTTACACTTTTTTTGGTTGACATGGATTCATGAATTTGCTAGAATTCCACCGAAACTTTGAAGTCTTCTTAGGTATATCTATATCTATATATATATATATATATATATATATATATATATATATGAACGCCTACATAAGACCAGGTGATCTTGAGAATGATGGGGTGAAGGCGTGAAGCTATCACAGGCAGTAGCCATGAGTACATTCCCCTAACCCCTATGCATACTATATCCATATGTTCAAACTAATGTGACGAACTATAGCTATGAGTACGTCGTTTACGGCTAAAAGAGTACACGTTTACCACTAAAATGAATAACCACAACACAGAAGGCGCCAAACCTAAGTTTCAAATAGGCAATCTACCAATGTCAAGACCTTTCAAATAGTACCGCCCTACTCTTCTTCATTTCTAAAACAAACACATCTACATATTAACTTCCCAAATTATAGGAACAGGAAGCTTGAGCAACAACAGTACGATTCTGAATCTAAAATTGCAAAATCCATCACAACCGTCTGAAATTTGTCAGAAGCATATTGCTAGTGCGCTAGTGGCTCCACAGTGCAATGTCAGTGGTGCCATGCTCGACGTCCTCCCGCCACGCGCCGGCGGCGTCCGGCGGGTCTACGAGCAGCCCCTGCGCCAGGCTCGCGTAGTACGATCCGGCATCAGACATGCCACCGAACCTGAACACGTCCTCGAACTCGAACACGGCATCGTTCGAAGGCACCGCGCCAGGCGAGGAATCAGCATCGTCCTCCTCCAGCTCGTCGTCGGCAGTATCCTTCGCTGAGCGCCGCTGGAACGCGTCGACGGCCTCGGCGACGGCGTCCTTGAGCTCCCGCGCGCTGGCCAGCTCTGGCGCCGACAGCGCGCCGGGCATCAGCGGCGGGAGCAGCCACGCCGAATCGGCGAAGTTGAGGCAGGCGCCGCGGCGCGACAGCGCGATGGCGGCGGCGTCGTGCGCGCGCGCCGCCAGCTCGGGCGTCGCGAAGGTGCCGAGCCAGAGCCTTGACCCCGCGGTACACCGGGTGCCGCGTCTCCCGGAACTTGGTCCGTCCCGCCGGCTTCTTGGGCGGCGTCGACCACACCGTCCGGTACTCCACGTGCTCCGCGGACGACGTCGGCGACGGCGAGGGTGTGCCCATTGCAGACTCGCTGAAGGTCAGCAGCTTGGTTGTAGTGTGTGTGGTAGCCCTGACCGTGGTCGAGCTGGGATCGATGGAGCAGTGGAGCTCGGACTTGGATGGGGGAGCGGAAGGCGGCCGGGAAAGTATATATAGCGATGGGTAACTTGTCAACCGGGTGCAGGGGCTCTAGCCACTAGCTGGGCAGGTAGCGAGTTGCTGACGACTGGTCGTCAGTGCCGCGGGGAGTGAGAGGCGATTAGCTGGAATTGGAAAACGAGACAGCCTGGAGGAACGGCGTGCGTGGCGGTCCGAGTCAGCCACCAGGACGGTGGCGGCTGGTGGGGTCCGGCGGTCAGCGAGTGTTAGCAGTTGCATGGCGTGTGGTCTGCAGGTCTCCGTTTTTACTTTTCAAAGCTGTTCGCCTGGGTGCAATTCGCGCGGTGGCCAGTTGACCACATACGTAAATCTTTGCCAGGTTTACCGCCATGTTTCGGTTTCTCGGTTGACTGAAAGAAGATCTTGAAGGTCTGAGGCTTTGTTGACCATCTAGATGTGAACGTCCATGCCAACGTAGTTTCTTTCCGTGTCCATACATAGTGTCCATGAGTAGACATGATCAAGTTTTCAAGTCTCGTGTCAGGTTGCGTTTTGATCGACCAAAAAACGGAATTCTGTAAGCCGGCTTCGACGTTGGGTCAACTTTTATCCCCACACCGTTGGGTGGGGCTATTTCTCAAATTAGGTCGGGTTTATGAACAAAAAACTGCTAGGCTTCTAGCATCTAACCTAATGGTCGTTGATGGATGAAATCAAGGCATGAACCCACCTGATGCACTAGCTGGTTGGATTTTATTTCAAAAAGGTCGAGTGGCCATGATCGAGTTCTAATCGCTAGCTTGTTCGAGTAACCAAAACTTAAGAAAAAAAAAAGCACTTCACCATGATTTGGAGATGGTCCGCGGATGGGAAATACACTTCACGGTCCACGTGCAGAGCGCTTCACGTGGGCTCGCACACAATACCCGGTTGCAAGAGAATCTGGCAAACCTGGGCACCGCTCCGGGTCAAGTTATTCCTTTGGCTTGCGATGCGTCGAAGACTTTGGACAGTAGACAGGCGATTGCGCCATGGGCTCGATGCTCCGGAACATCGCTTCCTGTGCGACCAAGAGGCAGAGACCATTGATCACATTATAGCCTCGTGCTCCTACTCCAGACAAGTTTGGTGGCACATTTTAGTAGCCCTCGGTGCTGACGCTTCCCAGGTGGGCAGAGACAGCATGCTGTCATTGTGGAACACATGGCGAGCACGCTGGAGGGGGGACAAGAGGAAAGGAGCGGACTCTCTCTTCGCGCTTGTAGCTTGGGAGCTCTGGAAGGAGAGGAACGGGAGATGCTTTCGCCAAGCCTCGTCCACGGTAATGCAGATCCTCACGCACATCATGCACATCGCAGACCAGTGGATCGACGCCTGCGCGGCGAAGTTACGTTGTCTCTTGCACGAGTAATCGGCTTGTATTTAAATCTGCTAGGCGGAGAAAAGCTGTATGATCATTTGCCCCACCTACGTCGATGTAAAAACTCAAATTTCTCGATCTTAATAAACCTTTTGCGTATTTGAGAAAAAAAAATACAAAACTATATATTTGCATACATCTCTCATCCTGTTTAAGGTTACACGGCTATTTCGTTTTATTTACATAAGGCTTTGGCCCATAATTATTTACTACGATGGTTTGAAATCATAAACTCATAATTATAAGCAAGACTTTTTCCAATATGAATCTAATATTACAAATATTGTATCACAAAAAGTATAAATCGATGAGGTATACAAGCCTTGTCCTACTAAAATGAAATTTGTCATGTCATTTCAAATGGAGAGAGTAGCCAAGAGGGACCAAGTGCCCATATATATATTCCATGAAACTAAATGCACTGATTCTAGTTTTAGGTTCACTAGCCAGGGGTGGATCTAGCCCTGTTTATTTGGATCCATCACCCTAAAAAAATTGTGAATCTTTGCGTACAACACTTTGCAAATATTAGAGTACAACAGTGCTAGGGCTCAAGAAATTTCAGGTCATATAGTTAAGTTATAATTAAGCTGAATCGATTTACCCCCAACAATATCCACCCTCACACTAAATTGCGTCTTGTAATCAGCGGACGTTCGTTGGATAAGAAATCAATAAACGATTCATAACTCCTTTTTTAGAAATATTCATTTCAGTGACTTTACAAAGTTATATCCATAGTTTTTATGTATAAAATATTACCGTGTAAAACTCGTCAATGTATCTTCTTATCATAACCTTTTGATACAGTTTATGACACAATTTTATAGACTCCTCGTGACAACTATTTAGCATGATGTTTTTTTTTTCTTATCGAAAAGAGAGCTTTATAATATACTTATAAGTTAATATAGCACAAACTTATACTTCCAAGTTAGTATGTAGAAATTAGTATGCGACAAACTTATATACAAATGTATACTTGCTCCCAAATTATGTACTACAGTTAATATAACACAAATTCATAACTTACATAAAACTAATATGAGTCCTTATACAAAACTACTATCACCCTGTTCGCTTGTTGGTTTCAGCCAGGCTTATTCAACCAGCCAACAATGTTTTTCTCTCACAAAAAACCAGCACCAGCCAGCCCAAACCAGCACCAGCACCAACCAGCGAACACGCTGTATATATATAACACACGGTCACATATAGAAATTTACAGAAACTAGTATGATACAAACTTATATACAGATGTATATTCCCAAGTTATATACAGAAGTTAATATAACATAAATCTATATGTAAAACTTACATATAAAACTATATGAGTCCTTGTACAAAATAAAAAATATATAACACATGATCACATATAGAAATTATGAAGATATAACTTATATATAAACTAATGCTAGAAAATTATAGGTATATGACACATAAACCTATGTGCATCATTATGCATAGAGAGAACAAAGTGAACGAATAATGACGCTTGTGGGTCCACCACGCCCTTTGCTTAAATGGGGCCACTAACTTTGGATTTGGTGCCGGAGAACAGAGGAGAGGATTGATCAGTTTGTCTAGTTGTCCAGCTCAGGCGCTCATTGACTACCCTCGCGTAACACTTGCTGACTAAGGAACTGCAGCGTACAGACAGTCGAAGCAAATTTGCCACCTGAATCATGATACTCTCGGATATTCCTTTATTCCAATCCAATAGATTAGAATAAAAACTCTGTCATCAGATCAGTTATTATACTCACAGGAAGCAGAAGGCAGCCTTTGCTAATGAGGGCTTCCCAAAAGCAACACGCTGCGCTGGCGCAACATGCTGCCCCGACATCCACCTGTGCATTCAGCTCTAGGTCAACCAAAGTAGTGATGTCGTAAAGGTGTGTAGTGACATGCAGTGGTACCAGTATCCTCACCTGACACATTATGCAAGCAAACGTTGAAGAGCACGTTGTGGGGGAAAAGTGACCACTTGAAAGGATGGAGAGCGGAGAAAAGCTGGTGCCGTTGGTGTAGGTTTGCGTTGCTGTTGCCCTAGAGACCCTGAACGAACTGCCATCTTAAAATAATATGGAGGTGATCCAGCCTCGGCTGTTGGCCATAGGATCGAGGAAACAGGCTACGAGAGCTGAGAATTGAGAAGTGCTTGTCGAGTTGTTGTCAGTTTGTCACGTTACCGCGTTGTGGAAAAAAACATAGTGTGGCTGCTTTCCATTCGCCCAGTGAAGCGACCGCTCGCGTAACTGGAAGCATTGTTGGCAGAAAGGGAGAAGATTCAAAGTTCGCCTCCGCAGCGTCGCATCTGCGCTTCAACCAGCGGAGCCCATGACCAGACTCGGTCGGAAGTGCCACAGTTCACAGTAACCACATCTTCTGGATCGCTCACTGGGACCGGACAGCCGCTGCGTGAAAGTTACATCTCCCGGTTTCTCGTTACTTGGACCATCACATGTTACAGTCAAAACTCACAAACGAACGGTTGATGGAACACCTTTGTAAGGGAGGAACCATATCACAGTTCACAGACATCCAGTTCTCTGTTCCCTTTTATGGCATGAAGCTCAAAGTGCCTCAAGCTATGGAGTCGGAGCTCCGAGCTCGGACCTCGGAAGAAGACATGAACAGCGGGCGAAGAAAAAATGGAACGAAGACGATCTGTTTTGAAGTTAATTTGCTGGGAATCAATTTGAATTTTGTTACAGAGGACAACACGATCAGTTGGGTGATTGTCAAGCTTATTTTCAACTTGTTAGTAGCTCCAGAGGGCGACGTCAGCTCCGGCGTCACAGCAGTCGCCATGATCCCAGGCGGCCGCCGGCGGTGGCGGCTCCACGAGGAGCCCTTCCGCGAGGCTGGCGTAGTACACATCCAATTCCAAGTCCATGTCCCCGAACCAGTCGTGCTCGAACACGTCGCCGTCCAACGCCGCCACCATTTCACCGGCCTTCACAGGTACCTGCTCAAGCTCCGGCGCTGCGGGCGAGCCAGAGGAAATGCCCGGCAGCGACGACGACGAAGGTGAGGGAGGAGACACGCCCGAGGTCGCTTCGTCGACGGACGCACCGGCGGCTGCTGCCCCGCCGAAGCGGCGCTGGAACTCCGCGACGGCCTCGAGCGCCGCCCGGCGTGCGTCGTCCAGGCCCGAGAGCGCGGACGGCGGCGGCACGGCGAGCAGCCACGCGGAGTCCGGGAAGTTGAGGCATCCCGCGCCGCTGCGGCCCAGGGCGAGCATCGCGGCGTCGTGCGCGCGCCGCGGACTCGGCGGCGACGTAGGTCCCGAGCCACAGCCGTGCGCCGCGCTTCCCCGGCACGCGCACCTCGCACACCCACCGGCCCGCGGCGCCCCGCCGCCGCACGCCGCGGAACACCGGGTGCCGCGTCTCCCGGAACTTGGTGCGCCCCGCGGGGCGCTTCTTGGGCGGCTGCGGCGGGGAGGACGAGGACGGCGGGGACCAGACCGCCTTGTTCTGCTCGGACGAGGACGCCGACGCCGACGTGGAGGACGAGGAGGTCGCGTGCTGGAGCCTGCCCATGATGTCCATGGCTGCTGCTGCTGCTGATCCCTGCTGGCGGCTGCTTGGGAGTGGAAGTGGAGTGAGCTGGTGGTTCCTTGTCTGGAGCTTGAGCTGCTGTGCTGTGGAGCGTGTGGTTTTGTGAGAGCCTGAGAGAGGTGTATTTATAGGTATGCCTTGGTGTCCACACGCGGATTGGGCGGCTGGCCGCGGCAAAGGAAACAGCTGGTGCCAGTAGGTTCTTTGGGAGCCTGGGTGCTAAAAAATACGTATGTTTCAGCTGCTGGGACGCTTTTTTTAATCTGATAATATGTGATGCTGGGGCCGTGCGGGGGCTGGGGAAATATGACGTCGTCTTCGCTCGGGTTGTAAGTATTTTTTTAAAATTAATGAATAATATTTTTTTCTCATAATAAATTAGTCAAATATATTTTTAATCATAACTTATCAGTCAATGAATAGGACAATGCTGTGTAGCCAGGGGCGGATCAGGGGGCTGCCCCCCTCGGGAGCCTTAAATCACATGTAAAATACTGTTCATTAGCCTCTAAATCACCATTATTTTCTTAACTCTAGCCCTATCTTCATTATTTAGCCCCCGAGCTTATCCTGGATCCGCCCCTGTATGTAGCCCTATGCTTGACAGTTGTTTTTTAGTGCACTGCAGTGTCAGTGGACTGGAGGACATGCCCCACCTGCTTGCTCCTAGGCGCGAAGCTGGAGAAGACAAGCCGGACACTGATGGGAAGTGAGTGATGGTTTTCTTTCTCTTCTTTTCTGCCTTTCTTTCTTTTTCCCTGTGAGTGTGAGAGTACAGCCATACAGGGGATTCAGGGAACTGGTCTCTTGCCATCTTGGTACTTAAAAAACTTAGATAAATATACAGTACCATTTATAAAACCATCTTATAGCTTAGAGTAAAATTGAAAATGGATCACTTACTTTCTACATACATGACATCTTACATTTTGTGTTTTGTAATATTCTGTACTTTCAGAGTTGACAAATCTAAATAAAGAAAATTTAAATTCAAATATTCGAAGATAACGAAGCTAAAACTACCAGGGACACGGTATCAATTTATCACTCGTAACAGCTCAGTTAATCTCCGATTTCAAGCCTAGATGAACCATGGGTATCCCCGTGCCGCAGGTGTTTCCCGTTTCTCCGCACGCCTTCCTTCCTCCTCCGCTCCCTGCCATGCCTCCGGGGTACCAGCTGCTAAGCATGACGCGACCCGTCGTAGCGCCCGCTGACGAGGGAGGGACGGCGACCCGAGTGAGCCACAGCCGCGGGAAATATCTGTGCCTGGGCTTCTTGGGCTGAGAGTGTCTGACTGAGACCGAGACGGGACCGCCTGGTTTTTCTCCACCCCGTACGTACTCCTGCTTTCCGGCCGCCGTTTTCGCGTTGCCTTCCGCTGTTTTGCCTCTTGGGGCTTCCGGAGGCCGCCGATTTTTTTTTATTGTGGACGGTGGAGGCGCGCGCCGAGGCAGGCAGCTTCCGTGCCGTGGGTTTTTGGCTGCTGGTTGTTGCTGTCGCGCGGTAGCCAGCGTGCTCCAGCTAACCGCCGCCGCTTGCTCAACAGAAGGATAGACATGGACGATAACAGTTATCGCGACGTCTTGATGGCGACATACATACTAACGTATCTTTTGAAAAAAAATCGCCACGTTTATTTTTTCTAAAGGGAAAATATTTCGGTACCGTGCTCGTACTAGTAAATTATTAGTGGCTCGGGATTCCTCCTTGCATTTTGGAGAACCCTGCTCGGAAGTGAATCGGAGCCCAAGAAATGTGCTAAAAATCTAAAATAGACTTGATTATGGTTAACTCGACCGGCCAGCCCAAACCGTTCCATGAAAACTCAACCCAATCCGGCCAACCCAACCTGTTGGATAAAAACTCGATCTAGTTCGATTTGCCATTACATCGAATTGAGTTCACGTCGTGATTTTCAACCCACGAACCAATCCAACTAAAAAACCCTAAGTATAAAAATATGAGAAATAGTCCGATCCGACCAGACTTCCCAATAGGTTAGGTCAGGGTTTTTTCTTACATCAAAGATTTTAACTCAAGTCTACTTAACCTGGCATTTGATTACGTTTCATGATGTTTGAGGAACTCCAAGAACCTTTGTATATATTTTTGTATCTGTAGAGATAGAGATTTTGGTGAAAACAGTTTCCGCCAAAAAAAAGTTAACTAAATGTTTAAATATTTTGATCTTTTGTTTCTGCTTTGTCACTCGTTGAAAATAGAGAGTGGAGCCAGCTCTTCAAAGTACCGAATAAAATAGAGCAAAATTATGAAGGGTGAAGAGTTGTAGAATTTTTATGAGAATGTCTAAATGAGAATTTAGATAATGGTTTTAAGAAAGCCCAATGGAGATGCTTGCCAACTGCCTTTTTTATGAAGACTGGTCGTTAGGGAGAATAGGTTCAGGCTACCAACCTCCTCTGTTTCGTGCTCTGTTTTGGGGAGTCAGGGGCATGCTCTGTTTTGCTTTTCCGAACTTGCTCTGTTTTCATTACCAATAGTAGTAACCACTACAGTCCCAAAATTTGGCATAGATGGCCAACAGAAAGAAAAAAAAAACAGGAAATTCATAAGATGTAAACGTCCTCAATTCTAGTAGCTCCACAGCGGCACATCGGCGGCATTGGCGTAGCCGTCGTCACCGAACGCCGGAACTGCGGACGGCAGCTCCATGAGCATCCCCTGCGCCATGCTCGCGTAGTACAGATCCCAGCTCATGTCATTGAACACGTCCAGCTGGAACGGCGACAAGTCCTCCGTGGCCGGCAACGACTCCTCACCGTCCGTGGCAGCGTCGTCGTCCTCGTTGCCCGATGAGGTGAAAGGCGCCGCCGCCGACGTGGCCGAGCGCGTGTCGTCGTCCCCGGCGGCCGCCGCCTGGAGGTCGCGGCGCTGGAAGTCCTCCATGGCCTCGGCGACCGCGTGGCGGACCTCGGCGAGGCTTGCGTACGAGGCCGGCACCGTGAGGAGCCAAGCCGAGTCGGCGAAGTTGAGGCACGCGCCCGCGCCGGCTATGGCGAGCATGGCGGCGTCGTGCGCGCGGGCCGCCGCCTCGGCGGTGTCGAATGTGCCGAGCCAGAGCCTGCACCCGCGCTTCCCCGGCACGCGCACCTCGCACACCCACCGCCCGGCGTTGCCGCGGCGCCGGACGCCGCGGAACACGGGGTGCCGCGTCTCGCGGAACTTGGTCCGCCCCGCCGGCCGCTTCGGCGGCGACGTCCACACGGTCTGGTGCTCCGATGAGGTCGAGGGCGAAGCCCAGCTGCTCGCCGAGCCCGACGACTCAGCGCTCATCTCCTTCTTGATCGGGCACATCTTGCTCTGGATCACCTGCGGAACGATTGCTTAGCTAGCTCTCGAGTGGATGTTGTTGTGGTTACTGGGTTACCTCTGCTGCTGCTTGATTTGTGTTCGAGTGGTTTTGCGATCCGATACTGGATTTGCGGGCGCATATTTATAGGTGGTGGCGGATGCAGGGGATAAAACGCGGGAAGGGAGCACACAGCTGGAGAAAGCAAGCAGAGGAAAGGGGGGACGCATCTGGGTAAGGCCGAGGACGCAACTTGCAGCAGAAAACAGTAGGGACTTCGAGAGTGTCCTGATATTTTCATTATTTATTCATTTATGGCTTGTTTAGCTCCGGAGGTAAAGTTTTGGGGTTTCACGTCACATGTTATACGGATGTGTCTAACAGGATGTTTGAATACTAATAAAAAAATAAATTATAAAATTCGTCAGTAAATCGCAAGACGAATTTATTAAATATAATTAATCCGTCATTAACATATGTGTATTGTAGTACTTTATTGTCGAATTTTGGACTAATTAGACTTAAAATATTCGTCTCACAGATTAGCCGTAATCTGTGTAATTAGTTATTTTTTAGTCTATATTTAATACCATGAATATGTTAAATATTCGATGTGATTGAGCTTGAAGTTTTAGGGTGAAAAATATCTATCGGTATGACGCGATGCTTCCGCTAACGGTTTCCGTCTCTCGTAAACCTATTCGATGTGTTTTGTGGGCTTAGAAAAAAATACTCTTGCTCTTTGCTTAGAAAATGATTTCCGTCTCTCGTAAACCTATTGACGGTTTTGTGGTTTTGAAAACCGTCCCCCTCACAATCCTGTTCTTTCTTTAGAAAAATGATAAGAGATTGCTGCTAGGCACCGCACAATACAGCAGCGGCTGCAGCCACTGTAAAATAACAGCCGAGCACAACCAATATTGCTCTTGCTTGTCGATAAAGAGAAGAACTTGTAGCAGTTAGCAATTTGGATTTTTGGTTCACTGTAGCTCGGAACATGTGCTGTTTGACAGGTGGGACCCCATGTATTTAGATAGTCGGTGTGGTCAGCTCGTCGAATAAAAGCTTAAGTTTCTCGCCATTTAATCAAGATTGAATTTCCTCTCAGCACCGTTTGATCATTGAATTGAATTTATTTTAATAATCATAATTTAGACACATACTGTAACATCCTAGATGTTTAGACACAATTAAAATTTGATCATAAGCATCATCATGCATAATCATCAAGCATTAGGTCATAAATAAATGCAATTTATGTTTCAAGTATAGCATTCATATGTTGCAAATATGGTGTTTCATATGTTGCATGACATGTTATCTTTGATATCAATTAAGAACCTTTGTGAATTTATATAGGTGAATTTG